TTTAGATTGTGAATTAAAATGAATTTTTAATTTGCAAATTTCGGTTTTGAAAATGAATTTTAGATTTTAAATGTAAATTAAAAATGAATTTTAAATATATCGAATTAAAATGAAAAAAAAAATCCTCCTGTCAGAAAGCCCAATTCCGACTAGGGGGTGTTTTTTAGATTTTTTTTTTATTTTAAAATATTATATAAATTAAAATTTATAAATTGTGAAATTAAATGTATCGAATTGAAATGAAAAAAAAAACTCCTGTCGGAAAGCCCAATTCCGACTAGGGGTGTTTTTTAGAAAAATTCTATTTTATTTTAAGAAATTATATAGATTAAAATTTATAAATTACATTGTTATTTTATTTTGTTTAAACTATAACTTTAGAAATAAATAGAAGTATTTATTTTAGTAATTTTTATTCAAAGTACATTTTATAACATTCATATAAAATGTTATTTATTTTTTGTAAGAGTAGTAGCTAAACTCGGGAGTAGTAGCTAAACTCGGGAGTAGTAGCTAATAATATTGAAATTTATGAATGTGTCTACTTTGTACAGTCATAAACTCGAGTGAAGAGTCGGATGACCCTGACTATGAACAAGGTTTTAGTAGTGACGCCTATTCATCCACAAGCGATGATGGTGACGAGGAAGTAGACACAACGTGGGCCAATGTGGAGCTACAAGAATCATATGTTGTGCCGGTGGATTCTCAGCTTGAAAGGATCGAAGTCGGCGCAGTTTACGACTCATACGATGTACTGAAAGAAGCGGTGACGAGAGAAAACATTCGTCAATTTCGTCAATTCAGAACGGATGACAAAAGAACACGGTCCTGGAAGGCGGTTTGCATAGATCGACCCGACCCTTTGCACTTGGCATATCCAAGCAGGAGAAGGTATGACGTCAAAAAAGTGGAAAGTAAAAAAATATCAACCCCATCACAGTTGTAGGGAGGATCCTAGAACGGCTCAGGATGACAGGATCCTAACGACCAAGATCATAGCCAGTGAAATCGCTCCAAAAGTCAAAGTCGACCCGGACTACAGCATTAAACTGATAATGTCCGACATATATGAAACATTTAATATCCGTGTTTCATATAAAAAAGCTTGGAATGGACGTTTGATCGCTCTAGAGCGTAAATTCGGCAATTGGGAGGCGTCATATTATGAACTTCCTAAGTTGTTGGAAGCTATACAGTTTTCAAATCCGGGGACCGTTGTTCATTTGCAATAACAACAGACTGACACTCCTCATACGTCCAAATTCCGCCGAGTGTTCTGGTCATTCAAAGCTTCTATAGACGATTTTAGATTTTGCTTACCCGTAGTCTCGGTTGATGGCACTCACTTATATGGCAAATACAAGGGGTTCTTCTAGTTGCGGTAGCCATGAACGCTAACCGTGAGATATTTCCTCTTGTATATGCTGTTGTTGAGAGTGAGAATGCTGACAGTTGGTCGTATTTCTTTGCAAGGGTTATGCGTGATGTGGTTGGAAGTCATCGTAGTGTGTGCATTATCTCCGATCGTCATGCAGGAATTGAAAGTGCATTTAGAGCCTTGCCAGAGTTGAGATTGCCACAAGTGTCAAAGCGTTATTGCCTCCGTCACATACGGAGTAATTTCATGACCAAGTTTAGGAACGCGGAACTTAAAAAATTATGTTGGCAAGCTGGTAGCACTCCCACAAAACAGGAATTTCATGAGTGTATGGAACAAATACGAGGCATAAATGAGAGTGCCTTTCTATATTTGAATGAGACTCTTGTTGAGATGTGGGCCTTGAACTATGACGATGGCAAAAGATATGGTATTTTGATGACAAACCTTTCTGAAAGTATTAACAATGTCTTAAAGGGATGTCGCACATTGCCTATCACAGCACTAGTAAAGGCCACATTCGACAAAGTCGTCCAACTATTTACCGATCAACGAAATGCGGGAATAATGTGGCACCAAGCGAGATTCTTGTATCCACAGAATATATGGAAGGATGTTCTTGAGCGGTCAGAGCGTAGGTATCACACAACTATTGTCCCGCACAATCGAACAATGGGAATTTACTCTGTAGCTATTGGTTCGCATGATCCAGTGACAATCGATCTGACAAGGCAGGAATGTGGGTGCGAGTATTGGAAGCAGAAGTGGATGCCATGTGTTCACGCGTATGCGATTTGTCGGTTTTTAAAAATAACCGTAGACGGCCTCATCCCAGCTGTGTATTTGTTAAATGAGTACATCTGGACGTATGCTTCCGATATCATGCCTATTAACAATTACCTCAATGTCATGGCAGAAACATCGCATACACTTCTCCCGCCCACAAACAATAGATCGGCTAGAGTCGGTAGACCACAGAGAACTCGATTTCCTAATGAAATGGATTTGCGTGCTACAAGGAGAGGACATGAGTAATATTGTAATGTATACCTTGTTGGATTTTTTGTTTTGCATCCGATTACTAATGAAATATTTGTTCTATTTTTCATTGTATAAATTCCATCAGATAAATTCCATCATATAAATTCCATCTGATAAATTTAATTAGAAAAACTTGTCAGATAAAATATAATTAGATAAAATTTAATCAGATAAAATTTAATGAGATAAATATAATCAGATAAATTTAATCAGATAAAATTAATTAGATAAAATTTAATCAGATAAAATTTAATCAGATAAATATAATCAGATAAATTTAATCAGATAAAATTAATCAGATAAAATTTAATAAGATAATTTCAATAAGATCAAATTTAATGAGATAAATATAATCAGATATAATTTTATTACTATGTCCGAACTACTCCAACCAATACCGCAAATTATACCGTGGGATCGGCCCAACATGTGTATGGTGTGCCGATCCCAAACGGTGTCGTTTTGTTATTAATTAAAACAGAGACGCACAAACTCATCATCTTTTCCAGTATATGTTCCGTACCTGCAGCCAAGAAACCAATTCTTCAGTGATACGAATCCTCCTGCAGAACCTCCATGCTCAATCAAATTCATTTACTATACTTAGTATATACTTCGTATGATGTATATACTCCATCCACAAGCCAGTAATTCTTCGCTCTACAAATCCTAGAATTTTCCGGAGCTCACAAGCCTAGAATTTTCCGCCTGGATATAGGATCTGCCGCCTTAGCTGCAGGAGGAGGATCTATTATTAACGCTAGGTTGAGCACAACTATTATTATTTGCCTCCTTGGTAGCAGACCGATGACTCACTGGCAAGAACGCCGGTGATTGGGTTTCTGTATGGGATTGGGTTCCGATTTTTTCAAGTTTTTTGTTCAAATTTCTGCAGGGATGATCATTCATGGCTATCTAAGAAAAGTTACATTTTTATTAAAAGAGTTTACATTTCCATTTATCTCAAGTTACATATCTATCAATGTGAGTTACATGTAAACTTTTCTCACCAAGTTACATCACACTTACACGCAATTTACATTTTTCATATTGCGAGTTACACCACAATATAATGCGAGTTACGCAACAAAATAAGCTCCTTCTATTCAAAGAAAAATTATTTTTATAAAAAATCATTTTTATAGAAATAAAAAATATAGATTGATTTTTATAAAAATACTTTTTATAAAAATAAGAACTATATTTCAAGTGGTATAACAAGTTGAGAGAGTAAAACAAGTTACTCTTTCAAAAAAATGAGTACAACAAGTTACATACTCCTGAGCGTGAGTTACATTTGAAAATTAGACTCTTTTTTTCATTGTTTAAATTGAAATCAATATTGTATTTTTAATACTATGTATTTGACAAGTTACATTTCGAATGCACTTGAGTTACATTAATCAATAACGTAAGTTACATATCTTTACTCGTGAGTTATATCATTCATGCTACTGGGACAAAAAGAAAGAAAAAACAGTTACTGTACACGCATGTACGGTTCACGCATGTAATGTTCACACGGATTTTTTTTTTTAAAAATTGGGTAAAGTTACGTCGTTTTGGAAGTGGAGCACCATCAGGGGCGGACCTAGGCATCAAAGGTCAGCGTATGCACAAATATAACATTACAAATACATTACAAAATGTTGAGCAAAAAAAGAAAAATTAACATTACAGATACATTTTGAAAAGAATATAATAAAAAGAAAAGGGAAAATTCTCGAAATAGGAGTAAAAATGTTTGAAAATTTCAAAATTAGGATTGTCATTTTTTTATTCCCAAAATAGGAGTAATTTAGTCTGTAATATTATCAAAACATGGCTGTAATTAGTCCTATTTTGAGAATAAAAACATGATAGTCTTATTATAGATTATACAAACGTTGTTAGTCCTATTTGGACTAATTTCCCAGAAGAAAATGACACATTAAAAAAATTATAGTAAAGTTAAAGAACATTTTCATGGTAAATAAAAGACTAATAAGAATTTATTACATGAGAGTAAAGAACAATTTGGAAGAAAAAGTACTTCAAGAGGAGCGGTTAGTGGAAGATCATAAGGCAGGACTTAGGAGTCAGGAGTAGTTTAATTTATGTTTGCTGATTCTTTATTTGAGGTATTTGAGTAGTTTATTTCAAAATAATTTCATGAGACATTTGGATATATACCTATTTGTAATTTGGGCCTCCAAGTTGGATCCGTAACTTCGGCGCAGGCAGTGGTGCAATGGTTAAAAGAATTTGAATGATGGAATCAAAAAACAAAATATTGCATGCACTTGAAGAGTTTCGAAAACCAGACCTGAAGCACTTTACATTTCTAAGAGTAATTGTTATACCACTCTGCTAATGAATTCTTTTGATGTGTAGGATGTGCATACCCTCATTATACCGTGAGCCCGCCACTGAGCACCATGCTCATCGTGGGAAGATCCCACGGTATAAGAACTGTACCAATACCATTCAATACTCCTACCTAACTCCAAACAAACACATTCTAACTCTAAACAAACACATTCCTATCTATCCTAACCGTTCAAAGAAGCACGTGGATTACCATCAAAGGCCACAATCGTATCTCTCCAATCGGAACTACCTAATCCGACTGGGAAGAGTCACCGAAAAAGAAAATCTCCTCCAGTCGGAACTGCCAAATCCGACAGGGAGGAGTCCTTTAATTCCGCTTTTACGCACTCCCACCTCTTTTTTTCCTTATAAATACATTCTAAATTTTATCAATACTCATTCTTACATCATTACTCAATCTCAATTTTATCGATCCCAAGCAAGAGTATTGACTACCAAATCAAACATTTGGGATCAGCCAAATTTCCAGGTTATTTAATTTTCGGTTTTATAAGTGTAGAAGTAGTTAATTTATTAATTTGTAAAAATTTAATTTAGATTGTGATATTGGACTTTTAGAGTAAAATTTAGCTATAAAATACTAGAAACTTAGAAAGTGTGTTACATTTGGATATTTCCTTAAATTTCGGTTTTAGGAGTGTAGAAGTATTTAATTTATTAACTTGTAAATTTTTAATTTAGATTGTGAAATTGGACTTTTAGAGTAAAATTTAGCTATAAAATACTAGAAACTTAGAAAGTGTGTTACATTTGGAGTTTGCCTTAAATTTTGGTTTTAAGAGTGTAGAAGTAATTAATTTATTAATTTGTAAATTTTTAATTTAGATTGTGAAATTGGACTTTTAGAGTAAAATTTAGCTATATAAAATACTAGAAACTTAGAAAGTGTGTTACATTTGGAATTTGCCTTAATTTTCAGTTTTAGGTGTGTAGAAGTAGTTAATTTATTAATTTGTAAATTTTTAATTTAGGTTGTGAAATTTGACTTTTAGAGTAAAAGTTAGCTATAAAATACTTGAAAATTAGAAAGTGTGTTACATTTGGAATTTGCCTTAAATTTTGGTTTTAGGAGTGTAGAAGTAATTAATTTATTAATTTGTAAATTTTTAATTTAGATTGTGAAATTGGACTTTTAGAGTAAAATTTAGCTATAAAATACTAGAAACTTAGAAAGTGTGTTACATTTGGAATTTGCCTTAAATTTCAGTTTTAGGAGTGTAGAAGTAGTTAATTTATTAATTTGTAAATTTTTAATTTAGATTGTGAAATTGGACTTTTAGAGTAAAAGTTAGCTATAAAATACTTGAAAATTAGAAAGTGTGTTACATTTGGAATTTGCCTTAAATTTCGGTTTTAGGAGTGTAGAAGTAATTAATTTATTAATTTTTAAAATTTTAATTTAGATTATGAAATTGGACTTTTATAGCAAAATTTAGATATAAAATACTTGAAACTTAGAAAGTGTGTTACATTTGGAATTTGCCTTAAATTTCAGTTTTAGGAGTGTAGAAGTACTTAATTTATTAATTTGTAAATTTTTAATTTCAATTGTAAAATTGGAATTTTAGAGTAAAATTTAGCTATAAAATACTAGAAACTTAGAAAGTGTGTTACATTTGGAATTTGCCTTAAATTTCGGTTTTAGGAGTGTAGAAGTAATTAATTTATTAATTTGTAAATTTTTAATTTAGATTGTGAAATTGGACTTTTAGAGTAAAATTTAGCTATAAAATCTAGAAACTTAGAAAGTGTGTTACACTTGGAATTTGCCTTAAATTTTGGTTTTAGGAGTGTAGAAGTAAAGTAATTAATTTATTAATTTATAAATTTTTAATTTAGATTGTGAAATTGTGCTTTTAGAGTAAAATTTAGCTATATAAAATACTAGAAACTTGGAAGTGTGTTACATTTGGAATTTGCCTTAAATTTCGGTTTTAGGAGTGTAGAAGTAATTAATTTATTAATTTGTAAATTTTTAATTTAGATTGTGAAATTGGACTTTTAGAGTAAAATTTAGCTATATAAAATACTAGAAACTTAGAAAGTGGTTTACATTTGGAATTTGCCTGAAATTTCGGTTTTAGGAGTGTAGAACTAATTAATTTATTAATTTGTAAATTTTGAATTTAGATTGTGAAATTGGACTTTTAGAGTAAATTAAAATTTAGTTATAAAATACTAGAAACTTAGAAAGTGTAGTTATTTCAAATTCGAATTAGACTTTGCCTTAAAATTCGAATTTATGACCTTACAAGTAGTTATTTTAGTTAAAATTGTGTTCAATTTAGATTTAGAATACAATTTCGAATTTAGTAATTTATAACTGCTTATTTTAGGAATTTCAAATGGACCAAAACATTCCGCGCCCCAGGCCTGTTAACCGTTCACTACTCACGTTGCCACTGCGTGCCCATCGTGCGGACCGTGTATGGTATGAACCAGATTCCAATGACTCGTGCTTGAAATGTGTAAGTTGCCCTTCTCACGCATTCGGAGATGAAGAGCGAGATCAAAGAGTGATAGATATGTTAGCATATATTGGCTTCTTGGGGGTAGAGCACATTGCCCGTATGAAGGTGGATCATAGTTTAATATGTGCTTTGGTGGAGAGATGGAGGTCGGAGACACATACTTCCCATCTTCCATTCGGTGAGGTCGGCATTAGTCTACAGGATGTGTCGATCATCCTTGGTTTGTCCATTCGGGGTATGCCCCTCAGTGGTCCAACCGTTAAGGGTAAGGCTCAGTGGATCGACCTGTGCACGCAGTCGTGTGGTTTCACTCCTCTAGAGACTGATATACGCACGAGTGATATCACCATGAGTGCTGTTACCCGTCACCCGATCGTACCTAACAGTACAGACGAAGAGGTCACCCAACACACCAGGACCCTAATATGGCAATTGCTTGGAGAGTTTTTGTTCCCTGACACGAGTGGGGCAAGAATAAGATTGTACTTTTTAGAGGTCTTGGCTGGTGACTTAGCTTTAGCCCGTCGATGGAGTTGGGCATCAACGGTTCTCGGCTACCTCTACCATAACTTGTGCAACGGCGCCAAGTGGGAAACCAAACAAGTTGGCGGTTGTATGCACTTGTTACAGATTTGGGCTTGGTCGAGGATTTCGATGGTTCGTCCCTCAGTACTTCAGGTCATGCAACACGACCATCTTCCATATGGCTGCAGGTATGTTGGCAATTACATCTTAATAATTGATAATGCTTTATATGACGTTAGACTTTTTAACTTCATATCGGTAATCAATAAATGTAGGTGGATCGTTCCCAAGTCATATAAGGGATCCCCAAGACACTGCATACGCTAGTACCAGGGTGACCTAGACCGCATGAGTGAGAGTCAGGTAGTACTTGAAATTTTTACTTCCACCGTACTATTCAATTTTCAATACACATTGTTTTATGGTTCTTAAATTGCAAATTAAACTTTTTACAGTTTTATTTCACTCCCTACACGTCCGAGGAACTCCCACTTATCATCCTTTAGGACGCTCCACTTTGGTCGGCTAGGGTCATGCTCATATTTTGCAATATGGCCGAAATGCATTACCCCGATCGATTTCTTTGGCAGCTCCATATAAGGCAAGATACTACGGATGCTCCTTTGGCGGGTACTGATCATCACGGATATTGTTCCAACATAGTAATCGGTGCCTTAGCGATGTGAGCGGACATACAACATAATATATACTTTCTTGATTATGATCGACATATGTCTGTCGAAGCAACTAAGAGGTACCGAAAATGGTACAAGAAGCATGACATGACACGTGTCCAGAACCCTTCTCACAATGTGCCCACGACAGGCTACACCCCGACATCACACGATGGGGGTATTGTGGTAAGTTTTTGAACACATACCATATTCATTAACATATATCGTGTCATATTATATACACGCGTTACATTTTTATGCAGAAACAAGGCTTTTATGAGGTGAATCGGCTCTTAGCCGACCACGTGAGTCATGAGGACTGTCAAAAACGACTACTGCAGATGGCCCTGGACGTAGGTGATGAAGAGATGCTCCGCCGGGGCGTATTCCATTATGAAGATGAAGATGAAGGTGGAAGTGACGAAGAGGATGATACAGATGAACATGAAGGCGGGGTGAGCACTCACAATCGCCCCCTCAATTCTCAACACAAGGTGTCTCATTTGATCAACCACCCCCTCAATTCTCAACGCATCAAGGTGTCTCATTTGATCAACCACCACCGTATTATGATTCTTATCAGTACTCCACACAAGAGGGTGATTATGTTGATTCATTTCTGGATTCGTTGTTTTACTATGGAGACACAACGGGGCCTTGGAACACTGGCGATGGGAACGGAGCAGGGCCGAGCACACAACGTTAGATATAGTATCAAATTTAATATTGTATGTGCTGTCTATTCATTAATAAATTACATTGAAAACAACATTTGTTTTTTTGACTTCCATTAAAATTACAAAAATTGCACCTAAAACAAAATCAAATTGGTATCTCATTTGACCAATGGATTAAATCAAAATTGCACTTAAAATTACAAAAATTGCAATTACAACAAACTTCACAATACAAATGGATTAAAAAACAATATAAAACAATCAAATGTTTTGTTACTCAAAAAATGAAAATGCTAAGTTTTCATTTTAAAAAATATGTCATGAATCTAAAAAAACTTTAAAATTTGGAATGGATAGAATTTAGCCCTACAATTTAAAACTTAAAATAAAAAATTTACCAATTACGAATTAAAATAAAAAATTTACCGCAAAAAAATGAATAAAAAAACTCCTAGTCGGAATTCACTAATCCGACAGGAGGTTTAGGGTTTTTTTGGAAATCCTCCCCTAGTCGGAACACCCAATTATGACTCCCCCTATTTGTTAAAACCTAGAAAAATCCCCGTATTTTGGCAACCAATCCCCCCTTTCTCGTATATCGGTAAAAGCATGTGTACTATCAAGATGCCAAGAAATTTTTATTTCCGATCGGTACAGGGGCCTATTTGACCCTTTAGCCTATTATAATTTGTGAAAATATGTTTTCGTTTTTAAGCAAGTTATGTCTTGTTTACTAGAATGAGTAATAGATGGGGTCGCCTCCAACAAACTTTTAACTCATTGTTACTATATTAAATCTTTGCGATTATCTCTTCTCTTCTCCAAAGACTTTCGTGAAAATTTTCTTTCGTCTTCTACTCGGCACAAGTACGTATGAACCCATTTCGAATATTAGATCTGAAAGGAGCATAATAAACCTTGCACCAGCAGGTCTCCTCATCTTGCCCTTCAACTCTTCCAAGAATACATCCTTCTCCTCATCTTAGTTGTGATAATGTGTTCTTCGAGTTTGAGTTGGTATACGGTGGTACTGGTCCACTATGACCATCATGCTCCTAGGGGCAAAACACAGATGAACAGTACCGCGGATGAACATTGACTTTTTTGTGTGTTTTAGTAGCAGGGTGATGTAACTCCCGTTTAAAAAAATGTAACTCATGTCAATAGGAAATGTAACTTGAGCCAAGTTGATATGTAAGTTGTCTAAAACGGAATGTAAGAGGAAAAACATTGATTTCAATGTAAACAATGAAAAATTAATCATAATTGCCCAATTGCTTTTTATAAATAGTGAATATGTTTTGAATTTTTAATAGTGGGCTATAAAAGTTGATTTAGTTAAAAAAAAAGACCATTAGCAGGGTTTATTTAGTGGTGTAGCTCGCGTACATTAAACTATAATTCTAGAAAAGTTGAGATGTAAACATACATACATACATACATACATATATACATACATACATACATACATACATACATACATACATACATACATACATACATACATACATACATACATACATACATACATACATACATACATACATACATACATACATACATATAAGAAAAGAAAAGAAAAATTTATATATATCATCAACATTGATTTCAATGTAAATAATGAAAAATTGATCCTAATTTCCCAATTACTTTTTGTAAATAGTGAATATGTTTTTTTAATATTAGGGCTATAAAAATGATATAGTTAAAAAATCATTTTTTTTATCATTAGCAGAGTTTATTTCATGATGTAACTTGCGTACATTAAGATGTAACTCACACGTAAACAGATGTAAGCCATGTAACTCGCGTATAAGAAAATGTAACTTCATATACTATCAAATATAAACAATGAAGACAAGGAGTCTAATTGCCCAATTAATTTACGTAAATAGTGAATATGTTTTGTTTTTAATATTAATATAATGCGATAATTTTTTTTTAAAATCAATTTTATTCTAAAACAAATTTTCTATAAACATGTGAAAATATAAATCTAATGTAATCTAAGTGTAATTTCACACATGTGGAAATATAAATCTAATGTAGTCTCATATGTTATCTAATGTAAATCTTAATAACCAAATTTAATGTCTTAAAAACACTAAAAACATATAAGAGAGATAAGAAATATATTATAGGAAAAAATGTATGAATATAAAAAATATATTACAAAAAAGTGTAATTATAAAAAGTATTTATTTTGAAGAATACAAAAAAATGGTTTTAATTTCAGTTGAAGAAAAAAGAAAAAAAATGTATGAATAAGGACTAAGAAATAAAGAAAAAATTAATTAATTTATTTTTGAAAGGACGAAGTTTTAATCATTTGGAAAATCATTTGGAAAAATTAATACATACACCGTCTATTAAGAAAATCATTTGGAAACATGATAGCTTTTGAGAATTAAAACATTAGAACTAAAAAAACGTAAAAGAAAAAAAAAAAGAAACGGGATTGGGGAGTGTGTGTGACTTGGAGGGAGAGAGCTTTTGATAAAGAAACAAATAATAGTAAAAAAATGAAGAAGAACAAAAGAAACCACGGTGGGAAAATGCAAGAGTGCAAAATTAAATGGCGTTTGTTACCAAAAACGGTACCGTATTTGGATCAGGCATACGTTGCGCATGATATGCCGGTCATACGATATAATTTGCATCGAGTTTGCGTTGCAAAACGAGATTGAGAATGATCTTACTAGTATTAATTAATGAGAAAGTACTTATTTAGTTTCAAAAAATAATCTTTATTCACATTTGTCTTTTTCTTTTCTTTTTTTACTCCAGGGGGTCTGGGGGAGGGGGATGGGGACAGAGACGGGGTAATTTTCGTTAGTGTAGGAGATAAAAATATTTACTAGTGTAGCGGGGTGATTTTTTTTGCTAGTGTAGCGGGGCGAATTTTTTCACTAGTGTAAGGATCTGCGGCTATTTTACTTCAAAAAAAATTCATTAATACATGCATGACGACATTTAAATCTATATATTACATTCTAATTTTAGCAAATCAAAGGAAAATGATATAAAAATAAAAAAATGATATATAACATTTTATTTGAATATAAAGAGTTTTACACATTCACCAATACTTTTAAAATAACTTCAACATTGTTTAACTACATGAGTCTTATAGAAATAAAGAATTGATTTTTGAATTACAATTTTTGTCTACCATGGAGGGTGTGAGATATTATTATTTTTAGAATAATATTATATTGCTAATTCATATATATATATATATTGCATATTATATTTGTATTAATGCTAAAATAATTAAAGTTTATTATCTATGGAATAAAGCCTTTTTAGAACGTAAGAAGTAAACAAATTGTGTAATTTAATGTCAATAAACATTTATAATTTGGATTCACTTCACATGACCTAAAAAATTTGTAGCTAGCGTGTTTGGTATTTAATATCGTTTGATATATATTTTTCAAAATTGTTTACTAGTTATCTAATAAAGATAATTAACAAAACTAATAATTTTTATACAATAAGTATCCTAAATATTAAATAATGAGTTGTTCTATTGTTTATTTAAGTTATATAAATGATTTTAGATGTTCCTTCTTTTAAATCTTCAATTAAGTATTACATTATGTAAGAATATATATTAATTTTAAAAACTAAAAGTTAATGGGGGCAATGTTCAAAAGAAGTTAAGGGGGCGAATCTAATTAAAGTATCAAAATTTTACAAAAACATTACATATATAGTAGAAAATTTTGAAAGTCCAAGGGGGGCGGTCGCACCCCCCCCCCCCTTAAATCCATCACTGGCTGGGGAGGTCTGGAGTAACCAGGACTAGAACTCACTCTATTGAGTTTCAAACCCTTATGTTGTGTCTAGCGGGTTTCGAAATCGAGACCTCCCACTAGGCACGGTAACCTCACAACCAACTGAACTGGAATGCTTGGTTATTCAAGTTTGTCTTGTTACTAGTTACTACAACTAGTTCTGTAATTCTTTATTTTGGTCTGTACCATAAATATTTTGAAACAACGCAATACATTTCAGAAAAACATTTGACTATCTTCCTGGTTGAATTTTTATTTGAAATTTGGTATGGGTAAACTAGACTTAATGAAGAAGATTCTTAAAAAAATTCATCAAAAACTTCCACCGGAAATCGTCCCAAATGGCGGCGGCCGGATATAACCTCATATATAAGGGGTGATGCTAGGGGGTGCCCAGGCTAGGCAATGACCCACCCCAAATTTAAAAAATGCTAATATTTTTAGTGTAAAAGATTTCGTGTAAATTTTTTTCCAATAATATTCTTTGTATCGGTTCAGTCTGGCATAGTGCCCTGACTCCACCCTTGATCGGCGGCTAAATTCCTCAAACAGATAGAAGCGGTAGAACCCAACTTTCGAGTAATAAGGTTGTTTTATTAAGATTCATTTGCTGATCTAAAATGTTGGCTGAGCGACATTGAAAAACAGTCGGCCTAATCTCAATTACAGGCATATTAATTATTGGCAATTTGAAAGTACATTACCTTGAAGTATGGATCAATCAAAAAATTTCAATTCAATAATTTAAATGTAAATAAAATATGAGATTTTGAGTTGAATCAATGAAATACATGCTAGTTATGGTACCCATCTATTTTTGCTGAGTACGTAGCACGCACCATTATTTATTATTAAGTATGAAGCACTCCATATTTTCTGACACTATATATCGGTCTTTGATACTGCATATATTGTGCCATCATCATTAATCCAAGGCAATAGGGTAAATTGATAAATTTGTTTACAAAATAGGGACAACCAATTGTATATAAAGATATACAAGTACATAAAAAGAAATTAAAGTGAGAATTTTAATTACCCAACCATTGAATTGAAAACATTATTAACCACGCTTTTACATTATATTGTTTAAAATAAGAATAAAAGATAGAAAAATTTCTATAATAAGATTAAATAAATTGTTTAATTTACTTTATTTAGCTAAAATTAAATCCATTTTAAATATCAATCTCAATAGATTCAATCATTTCAAACGCTATCGATTAAGATATTTTGTTATTTTTACTACTTATATATTATGATTTACATAAACCTATTATTATCGACA